CGCTGATGCTGATGCGCTGATGCTGATGCGCTGATGCTGATGCGCTGATGCTGATGCGCTGATGCTGATGCGCTGATGCTGATGCTGATGCGCTGATGCTGATGCTGATGCGCTGATGCTGATGCGCTGATGCTGATGCGCTGATGCTGATGCTGATGCGCTGATGCTGATGCGCTGATGCTGATGCGCTGATGCTGATGCGCTGATGCTGATGCTGATGCGCTGATGCTGATGCTGATGCGCTGATGCTGATGCGCTGATGCTGATGCGCTGATGCTGATGCGCTGATGCTGATGCGCTGATGCTGATGCGCTGATGCTGATGCGCTGATGCTGATGCGCTGATGCTGATGCGCTGATGCTGATGCGCTTATTCCGATGCTGATGCGCTGATGCTGATGCGCTGATGCTGATGCGCTGATGCTGATGCGCTGATGCTGATGCGCTGATGCTGATGCGCTGATGCTGATGCTGATGCTGATGCGCTGATGCTGATGCGCTGATGCTGATGCGCTGATGCTGATGCGCTGATGCTGATGCGCTGATGCTGATGCTGATGCGCTGATGCTGATGCGCTGATGCTGATGCGCTGATGCTGATGCGCTGATGCTGATGCGCTGATGCTGATGCGCTGATGCTGATGCGCTGATGCTGATGCGCTGATGCTGATGCGCTGATGCTGATGCTGATGCGCTGATGCTGATGCTGATGCGCTGATGCTGATGCGCTGATGCTGATGCGCTGATGCTGATGCGCTGATGCTGATGCGCTGATGCTGATGCGCTGATGCTGATGCGCTGATGCTGATGCGCTGATGCTGATGCGCTGATGCTGATGCTGATGCTGATGCTGATGCTGATGCGCTGATGCTGATGCGCTGATGCTGATGCGCTGATGCTGATGCTGATGCGCTGATGCTGATGCGCTGATGCTGATGCGCTGATGCTGATGCGCTGATGCTGATGCTGATGCGCTGATGCTGATGCGCTGATGCTGATGCGCTGATGCTGATGCTGATGCGCTGATGCTGATGCGCTGATGCTGATGCGCTGATGCTGATGCTGATGCGCTGATGCTGATGCGCTGATGCTGATGCGCTGATGCTGATGCGCTGATGCTGATGCTGATGCGCTGATGCTGATGCGCTGATGCTGATGCGCTGATGCTGATGCGCTGATGCTGATGCGCTGATGCTGATGCGCTGATGCTGATGCGCTGATGCTGATGCGCTGATGCTGATGCGCTGATGCTGATGCTGATGCGCTGATGCTGATGCTGATGCGCTGATGCTGATGCGCTGATGCTGATGCGCTGATGCTGATGCGCTGATGCTGATGCGCTGATGCGCTGATGCTGATGCGCTGATGCTGATGCGCTGATGCTGATGCGCTGATGCTGATGCGCTGATGCTGATGCGCTGATGCTGATGCGCTGATGCTGATGCGCTGATGCTGATGCGCTGATGCTGATGCGCTGATGCTGATGCGCTGATGCTGATGCGCTGATGCTGATGCGCTGATGCTGATGCTGATGCGCTGATGCTGATGCGCTGATGCTGATGCGCTGATGCTGATGCGCTGATGCTGATGCGCTGATGCTGATGCGCTGATGCTGATGCGCTGATGCTGATGCGCTGATGCTGATGCGCTGATGCTGATGCGCTGATGCTGATGCGCTGATGCTGATGCGCTGATGCTGATGCGCTGATGCTGATGCGCTGATGCTGATGCGCTGATGCTGATGCGCTGATGCTGATGCGCTGATGCTGATGCTGATGCGCTGATGCTGATGCGCTGATGCTGATGCGCTGATGCTGATGCGCTGATGCTGATGCGCTGATGCTGATGCGCTGATGCTGATGCGCTGATGCTGATGCGCTGATGCTGATGCGCTGATGCTGATGCTGATGCGCTGATGCTGATGCGCTGATGCTGATGCGCTGATGCTGATGCGCTGATGCTGATGCGCTGATGCTGATGCGCTGATGCTGATGCGCTGATGCTGATGCGCTGATGCTGATGCGCTGATGCTGATGCGCTGATGCTGATGCGCTGATGCTGATGCGCTGATGCTGATGCGCTGATGCTGATGCGCTGATGCTGATGCTGATGCGCTGATGCTGATGCGCTGATGCTGATGCGCTGATGCTGATGCGCTGATGCTGATGCGCTGATGCTGATGCGCTGATGCTGATGCGCTGATGCTGATGCTGATGCTGATGCGCTGATGCTGATGCGCTGATGCTGATGCGCTGATGCTGATGCTGATGCTGATGCTGATGCTGATGCGCTGATGCTGATGCGCTGATGCTGATGCGCTGATGCTGATGCGCTGATGCTGATGCGCTGATGCTGATGCGCTGATGCTGATGCGCTGATGCTGATGCTGATGCTGATGCGCTGATGCTGATGCGCTGATGCTGATGCGCTGATGCTGATGCGCTGATGCTGATGCGCTGATGCTGATGCGCTGATGCTGATGCGCTGATGCTGATGCGCTGA